TGGCAAGCTAAAGATGGATGACATAATCCGTTTTGGATCCAAAAAGATGCCCAATCGTTGGCCCATTGGGCATTTTTTGGATCCGAAACGGATTATGTCATCCATCTCTAGCTCGCCAGCGCATCACCGCTGCTATCGTTCAGCTCCTCTACCCCCTCAAGTCTCAACACACGCAACATTGCGCCTCGCGTAGTGCCCGCCTCCCCACGATATTCCCCGCCCCTTCGCATCTATGATCGTGCAGGTACGTCGCCCCACGACAGGGAGGTTTTTTTTTCTATTATCCGGGTGATTTACTGTGCTCTGATCTCCTTTTTTTCGTTTTTGTAGTGAATCCTTCCGCTCTCGCACATTCCCCCCCTTCAGCAACATCTCAAATTCCACTCACGGCCTCCCCACCCCTTGTTTTCCATGCAACTGAAGCAGGCCCTGTGAAGCCACGCGCCGCGCGCGCACAGAATTTCAATATTACTGTCCCCGTTTGATTATCTTTCAACAGGTTTCATTTTTTTTCCTGATTATCTAAATATTTCCACTATTGTACTTTGATATCCGAGGCCTGATATCGCAATATCATTATTAATGCGGATACCATTACCAGACCAATCTGATAACAGCGCGCGTTGCCGCGCAATTAAGCAAATAAGGCTCTGAAATATATCAAAGTAAGCCACTTATTCCGGCTGCTTATAGTGTGAAAAAAATACTTTGGGCAGCATAAGTGGTGTGCGCTACGGATGTGGTATCACACGGTGTCAAATTTAATGATTAAAGCTTGGTGCTGCGCTAAGTGTGCGAATTCCCCGGTGCGTGCTAAAATTGAATAAATGTGCAGAAAGTGCGCCATAGTAGGCGTTGAACGCCAGCGCGGTCAATGCCCTGGACTCAACTCGCTCCCTTGGCTTTATCTTGGGCGAGTGCTCGATGCTGCTCGCTTTCTGGCCCGGCCGCGCACTTCTCGACGTGAAGGTGGGACGACGAGATGCTCCCAGCTGTCATAAATGGTACGTAATTTTTTGAGGGAAAGGGGGGGGAGGTATTGGTCCGATGTACTTAGCATGCGGCGCCGGGTCGTAGAGTCGATGTGTATCTTGGTGCGGATCTCACATTCTCTTCTCGGGCTTCCCTCTACGACTGGACACTCACATCCCCGTCGCTCCGTAGCTGTCGCCGCATCTGGCACGCAGTATTGCTTCCTTACTCATGTTTTGTATGTACCTATATCCGATCACAAGTCTCGTGTTCCATGATCGTGATCATCCGGCGTTACTCGATGCTGCTTGAGCGCCCCTGGCCCTTTGTCTGCCACGTACCTGCGAGTTGAGTTTCCGCCCCATCCCAAGTATCTATATCTATGGTTGCTATGCAAGAGCTAGCGTCCTCTCGTATCATCGCCCAACTCTGCCAGGCTACACCTGACTCACGGCCAAGCTTCAAAGGGGCTGGTTCTTGGTGCGTATGAAACTCAGGTAGCTGGTGCCTTGCAGCGGACTCGAACTGCTCTGACAGAAATAATTTCAACGTATACATCTCAGACTATTCAAGGAGAATGAATGCACGTTATGACGCATAGATCGAATAGGTCATTAATCGGTGGCGGAAAACGTTTTAAATACAAGCTACTATTATGAATGGCGAAACGTGGGATGCGATGCAGACGCGCAACTGTTAGCGAAAGAGTTCATTAAATAACATCCGTGATCACGGTTGTCCAAATCAAGCCGTGCAAGCGCCTAGTTGGGATTGGAACCAGCGATGCTCAGAATAATGGGCCCAGCGACGGTGTTATCATCGGTGACGGTGCCGTTCACGGACGTGATGACGGCGTAGACGGTACCCTCGGTGGTGAGCTCGCTGGGAACCATGGTGGAGTTCTCGGAGGCGTCATAGGCGGAGATGTACGTCGAAAGGCCGGAGAAGAAGGCGACGAAGAGCTGGCTGGAGCCGGCGTTCCACCCGGGGGAGCTGAGGCAGAGCTTGTCGCCCGCCTTGACGGAACCCGTGGTGGTGGTTGTGAGTGCCGGGAAGGCTTTCACGGGGAGAGCCGGGTTCGTGCTTGGGCATGACTTGATGAACGGAGCTGTACACACATAGCAATCGTGAGCAAGATTGAGCGATGTAGTAATGATTTTTATGCGAAGAGTTGGACGTACCGGCAAGGGAATACACATCGTCGAACGAAAGCGGGGTGTCCAGCGGGCCGGACCACGGCTCCATGTGGTTCTCGGAGCTGGAGACCCAGGCAGAGTGACGCGACTCGGTGGTGAGGATGGCGCCGGCGGCGGTAAGGTAGTCCTTATTCTGGATGAATTGGGCGGCGCCGAGATAGGCGGAGACACCAACGCCCTCGAGGACGGCGGAGAGCGCGGAGAACGACGTGGGGTCGGTGTAGGGGCTACAATACAACACGTCACTTGTCAGTGCTCTGTAAATAATGAAGGTGGAGTAAGGGAAACTCTTACAAGGAGTACTGGCACGGCTGGGTAGCTTGGTCACCAAGGGCCGTGGTGAGGAACTGGACGTGGGCTGCCTCGTGGGCTGAGATTTGGCAGAATAGGTTGCGGTCGAGGCCGGCATTGGAGAAGGCCGCGTCATCAAACTGGGCGAGCGCGCCAGAGTAGAATGCGTTCTACGGAAGAGACGGTGTGAAGATATGAGGGTAGATATAGTGCGCTGGACGCGTCGCACCTCCAAATGCTCGAGGGTCAGAGCATAGTTAAGGATCTGAACGTCTGTGGCAAATGTAGAACGTGAGATGTAGTGAAAGCGAAGAAAGCGTATGGGCTAACCGGTGGGGGCGGCATCGCGCTTGGTGGGGGCGGCGTGGCCTTGGAGGGCGGCGAGGAGGAGGGGGGCAAGGATCATCTGGATCTTCATCATGTTGACGGTCGAAAGGTGGAAACCGGAAAGACTGGTGAACGGCGATGGAGGGATGATCAACGAGAGCAGCCTGCCGTTCTCCCACCGCTCACCCTCCGTATTTATGCCTTTCGCGCGCGCTGGTAGTACTGGTACTCCGCCGCCCGCGTATCCACGTGCAGCGGAAGTCAGCTGCTGCACCGGGCCCCGGACAAGGCAGCGAGGGCACGATCGAGCGGAAGTCTGCGCGAGTGAATGCGCACGTCACTTTCGCAAGACGTACGTTTATTGCGCCCGCGCGGCGGAAGTTTCCTACTCCGCGCCCACAAGCTTCAAGCTTCCAACTCCCTCTATATGCCAAGCTGTTTATGCGCGCAGCGTTGCTGGAAGAGACACAGTATGCAAAGACTCGAACCGCGTTCCGCATGCGCACGCTCATGGACATTCACGAGTATACGAATGCAAAACTCGGCTCGGACAAGCAAGTGCCGTTGGCCCGGCGATCGCCATCGTCTGGGTGTTGGTCGATCGGGCGCTAGTACATTCCAAACGCAAGCACTTGCAAACAGCGTGCGGATGCGCGCACGGCGGCCGAGAGGATTCCAGCGATCGAACATCCAACGGGCCCCGGCCGCCTGCGGGGCCCCTGGCGAGTGTCGTACGACCAGCGTTCTTTAGAAGCCGATGACGTACGTCGCGCGGTTCCTGTGCCTTCAACTCAACGCCATCGTGGAGGCATGGTCACGCACTCTCGCTGTCACGCATTTACGTTTTGCCATTTGGATGTCCTCAGCTGCAAGCCTACAAGCTCACACCTCGTCGAGCTTCGCATAAATTCTATGAGCTCTTTGATGGCCTTGGCTACTCAGTATAGCAGCGCCAGCACACAAGCCCATTGCGACTTCCATGTTTTGGACCCATCATTAATTGATTCCTTGGACTCCAATCCAAAAATCCACATTTCCGGTATATACTCGTGCAGACCGCCTTTAGTGAAGTAGCAATTTATCTGCTCTTTATCGTGCCAGCGCCTCTTTCTAAGTGCTTGGGTGAGCACTGGGGGCCTACGCAGCAATGTCCACATGTACTAACAAAGTCGCAGGGACACTGACCAATTCCATTCACCGACTCTTGCTTGATGTCTGCAGACATTCATGCTACTTCTTTCTGCGCATCAAATCGCGTCCCGTCACTTCGCCCTGCCCTGCGTTTCGTTTAGTATCTTTTCCCTCGAGAAAAAAGCCCTCTTTCTTTAGCTCTCGGTCTAACACCGCTCACGTCTCGAACCCGCTGGGCGCGCCGCTTTGAATCTCCACGCTGCAACCAGTGGCGTTCCACGGCAACTACTACTGCACCCCACATTTCGCCCGTAATGTGCTCAGAGGGCAGGTCGGATACAGCAAGATGGCGCAGTGGAAGCGCGCGGGGCTCATAACCCCGAGGTCGAAGGATCGAAACCTTCTCTTGCTATCTATATGTTTTTTCCCGATTACTGAGCGTACCACCCGTGGATTTTTTTTAGCTGCTTTTCCTTTTATTTTTTCCCCCCGGTCACTAGCACCACGCTCATATCTATTTGCATCGGGCTGCTGCGGACCTTTTCTAGTATCTACATACTCGTGTTGCTTGCACACTTAGCTTTGTGATGATACGACAGCCAGCTGCTCATGGTCAGCAGTACTAGTATGATGCTCCCGGCATCACGGAATCCTAGGGTAGTCGCATTAAGCTTTCGCTCTATGCCATCTGGAGGGGTCGCCGCCGCATTGCCCATCTGAGGCATCTGTGTTATGGAGCTAGCTGTCGAAAGGAGCGGGGACTTGGTGTTCTGTTTCTAGTGGCTCATATCCAAACGCCCATTGTCGCCGCATTGGCTCAATGGTAGAGCGTCCGCTTCCTAAGCGGAAGGTTGCGGGTTCGAGTCCCGCGTGTGGTATATCTTTTCATTATCTTTTTGCTTTTGCTCGTGGATCCAATATTTTGCCACGCAGAGTCGGTTCAGGGAGGCGCATTTTGTTCGGCGCCTCAGTTATGACCATAAGCGCTGAGCGCCAGGCCTGTGAACCTCCCAACAATTGTATTGCACGCGCATGGACTCAACTGGCGCGCGCGGCGTGGAGTGGACGAGCCACGGGCTTCCGAAACTTGGGTGAATAAAGCGCGCCAATACACACTACGCGTACGCCGTGAAAGCCCCTCGAACGAGCCAAGGCAGAGTGGCTTTCTGGAGCCCAACGTCCCCAGACAAGAGCGCGATACATGTTCACGGATATATAAATTGTTCAATCTAAGCGTAAGCTCGACAACATTAGCTGCTCCCAGCGCCCAAAAAGAATCGGAACCACGCATAGACGAGCGTCATAACCCCCAGCAACACTCCCCCGTATCTTTCATCTCCACCGAGCACCAAGCTCACCGAACCAGCCCCAACCCCGACCCAGCGCTGCGGTAGCTCATAGTTTTAAAGTTGCCCCATCAGAGCGGCGGCCGCCACCGCTGTCAACCCGGCACCGAGGTACTGGTTCAGCTGGAGAGCCGTAGATGCGGCGTTGGATGTCGGTTTGGGTGTTGCCGTGCCGGATGCGCCACTGGCGCTCGCACCTGTGCCTGTGCCTGTACCGCTGGGCGACGAGCCGGAGCCTGAAGGTGGGGTGGTGGTGGTGGTGGTGGTGGGCGTAGTGCCAGATCCTACAACAAATATAAGACGAGACGGGGACAACGACGGGCGGGAAAGGAAAGGGTGAGGGACGCAATTTCACGAAGTCCAAGTCAGTGGAGACTTAGTAGAGAGGATAGCAGAGAGAACGCACCTCCACCCGATGCCTTGGCGTTGGCCACAAAGGCCCCGGCAGTCTGAGTGCCAGTCACGGACGGATTGACCGATCTATACAGCACAAAAGAGTAAGCACGAGTAAGCGAGTAAGCTACATGGAAGGCACATGAAGACAAAAATTGATCGCAAGAAGAAGAAAAAGCAGGAAAGGAAACAAAAGAGAGCCCGAGTAGTAGCATTGAAATTCAAGTAAAAAAGGAGGGTGTTTCATGAAAATCGACTCACAGGACGCCGCCGAGGACACATTGACCTGGCGCACCGTCATAGAACCTGCGTACGCGAGATGGCAGACAAAAGAGATTAGCGCAACGTTGGAGGGTGGAGGGTGCACAATGAGGTGATGTTCAACAGGAGAAGAAGTTGGATTCGCGGAGTTAAGGCGGAAGCGAAGAGGAATAGATAATAAGACGTGCCAGAGAGAAGAGGCGTCGATCACATTGAAAGTCTTGGTGGGAAGACCGGTCGCGTCAACGGAAGTCCCGTCTGGGACGGTGACGTCTCCGCTTTGGAATCCACCGGAGAGGGGGGTGCAGGGCTTGTCAAAGGTCGACTCTGATGGGAACAATTGGGGGTAAGAGGTCGCAATGCAAGGTTTAGATAGGAACAATGAACGCACGGATAACGCTGAAATGACGGTAAAACGATGAGTAAGAGAGTTATCAATAGCTCGGGGAGAGGTTGAGCCTTGTCCGCGCCGGTGGCCTATATATAGTAAGCAGGAGGGACGAGACTGACCTGTGAGTGCCGGCATGGAATTCAAAGACGATGGTGTCGCCGGCGACGGGGCGGATGCTGGAGGGGTCAAAGCCTAGCCCGTTATTGCTTCACGGTGGCAATGGTCAGACGATTATTGACTGTAGGCAAAACAAGGGACACATACCCAGTATTTTCGTCCTTGCCGACGCCAACCTAAGTGTAAGGAACTATAGTAAGGACACAGGGAGGGCGCAGAGTGAAAGGCACGGCACCCTGTACTCGAACGCAGCAGCGATGGCGACGATGGCGAGGAGGACAGCCAGGGACTTCATTTTCAGCACGAACGCGGGAGAAAGGCAGCGAGCGCACAGGTGGGAATGCGGAAAGGCTTGGCAGAGCAGATACCGCACAAATAAGGCATGGCGTGGCGGCGCAGACCCCCGCAACTCCGACCCCTGTTTACCCCCGTTTGGGCGATCTGCGTCCCGGCCGGAGAGTGGCCGACTGCCTTTATGCTGGATCGGGCTGTGGGCACCGGGATCTTATGCCCAGCAAGTCTTAGCGCAGCGAGAAATCAAGGTGATGGCAATGGGTCGGCGAACAAAACCGTGGTCCGATACACGGGGGACTGGAGGGAAATTAATGCCATGGGTGCACTCTGAAAAGCGGTGAGAAAGAGCAAAGAAAGAGAGCGGAAAGCTAGACACCACGTGGAGTTTGAGCGTTCCTTTTGTCCTTTGGCCCGACACAACAATCAAAGTAGTACTCCAGACCGTCTACTTACTTTGTTGTATGACTGCTGCAACAGAAGCATGCCTCCTTTTATACTCCTGACCACTGGCATCCAGTCCTCCAACACGGATAGATAGTACACCCCCCACGCCATGGTATGTCATCCACACCCCCTTTCTTTCCGCTGTCTCACTCAAATGCCCCCAGTCCTCCCGCACGCCGCACCGATCTCATTCTTCTCCGCCCGAGAACCACCCGCCACACCCGCCCCGCTCATCCGAGCCATCGCCCGACGATGTGGGCGAGTTTGATTTGCCGAGCATCGACTTCCCATCGCTGTCCTGCACACCATCCTCATCTCGTCCACAGGCACACGACCATCCCATAAGCGTCCCCGAGCACGATCCCGACCAAGACCAAGAAGGCCAGGGCTCGAATTCAGGCCAGGGCCACGCCCGAGATGTCGACGCCGGCGTTATGGACGAGGTGCACGACTATGCCGAATCAGACTTGCTTCCGGGCGACACTGAAGACAGCGACCAGGCTTATTTCCACGATCAGCAGCAATCTTATGCGTCGTCTTCCCGGTGCTTCGATCCCTCGTATGCTTATAACTACTCGTACTATGGCTACCCCTCCTCTTTCTGGCCAAACTATTACAACCCTAGCGCGGTAGCAGCCGCCATCCTCAACAACCCACCTGAGCCCGAATCTGTCAACGAGTCCTCAGCGATTGAGATCATCGACTTTGGCGATGACTACAAGCCGCCGTACGTCTACATTGACACCCAGCGCGCGCGCGAGCTGTTCCAGGGCAACAAAGTCTCCGTCCTCTCCGGCGGTGTCATGCTCGGCGTCCCCAAGAACGACGACGGCACTGCCGTCGCGTTCGAGGACATCCCCGCCGAGGAGGACATACCTGCTGAGCAGACTCGGACGGCCACGCGCTCCATCTCCTCCGTTTCCTCCTTTTCATCTGCGTCGTCCGTCTCTTCGTGCTTCTCGGCCCGCGGTGCGCCGTCAACTATCGCTGCGGATGACGAGGAGTGGCTGGCTGAGCGAGACTGTGAGATGGCAGATGATCATACTGCGCCGGCGCATGCTGCTTCGCGCCGGACGTCTCCGTCTCTCGTCGCCCGCCAGACTCAGAGCTCCAGCTCGCACCATCCCTATGCGCGCCAGCCGACCCAGCGCCGGAAAGCCTCTTTCGGAGCTGCAGTGCTTGAAGACAACAACACCGAAATAAAGAAGAAGTCGAGGAGGCACAAACCGCGCAAGGCGAAGCGGGAGGAGCGGCAGCGGCAGCAGGAGGCGCTGGTCCTCGCGCCGAAGCAGGGGGAGACCATGATGGGAGTGCGCGTAGAGGTGGAAGACGTCGATCGGATGGACAGGGGCGACGACGACGATAGCAGCAGTGAGCGGACGCCGACAGGCGTTAGCGCCATGCGCCATGATCAGGATCAGCCTCGGCGGAAATCTACATACGAGAAGAACTTTCCTCCCCTCTCCACGTCCACATCCACATCCACATCCACATCCGCTTCCGCCTCTACCCTCTCCTCCCCATATTTTTCCTCGAGATCCACAAGGACACCGTCGCCTACGCCGTCGCTCACACCCACGCCCTCGAGTCCTTCTGATAACTTTACGCGAGCGCATTCGCCTATGGAAATGGATTGGTTCAGCATGTAGTCCTTTTTTGACCCCCCCATTTTACCCTTTTCTCCTTTTTCGATTTATGATTATGCCCGACCACACCTCTATTCTTTTTTGACACTGACACTCACGTAGTATGATAGTATCCCACTTGTCCCCTGACATTCCTAATTCGTTTCTTGCATGGCTCGCATTTGCATATGTAGACCCCCACGGACTATCTGTACACATAACTTATCGGGCTTCTTCCAGTCTCTCTTATGATTTCCGAATCCTTAGTAATGATATCGTCGCTGGCTGGAGAACGAGCACCGTTTCCTTTTTTTTCTTTCCCGACTGCGTATAAACGTGCGCCGGAAACCGTCTACCCCCCACACAAGAAAGGTGAAAAAACAAAGTAGATTGAGAGAAGTGAAGATGCAAACAAAAAATGGTATATGGGAACAAGTACTAGCGCTCTCCGCAAAGGGAGCAAACCGCTAAACGCAAAGACTACTGACCTTCTAAGCCCCTCGAGGCACACTGGCCTACTTCTGCTTTGACCCGGCCGCGAGGCCCGCGGCCTCATACAGACTCTCCCTATCCCCACTCTGGTCCACAAGCGCCTTGAAATACCCGCCGTCCTTCGTCAGCAGCGCCGCCGGCGAGTCAAACTCGATCAATTTGCCCGCATCGAGCACCAAGATGCGGTCGGCGTCGATGACCGTCTGCAGACGGTGTGCGACCGTGATGAGTGTTGTGCCTTTCAGGCCCTGCCGGATCGTGTTTTGGATCCACGTGTCTGTCTCAAAGTCTGCATTGAAAAAAGGTATGAAAGGTTGTAGCAAGTAATAGTAAAGTGGATGGATTGCGTTTGGGACGGAAGCGAAGAGGGTGGGGATCCATATCCGACCGGTGATTGAAACGAAAAAAAAAAAAAGGTATTTGTGTTAGTCTCGAGTTTCAGACCGGTGGTTCAAAACACCAAAACGTCACGCACCAATGGCAGCGGTGGCCTCGTCCAGAATGAGCACCTTGCT